AGAAAATACAAGGATCGAGTATGTATGAGAAAGAAATAGAATGAGCAAGGACCTATAAGGAAGGGGCAGAAAACAGAGAGATAGTAAATGTGAGTGAGGAAGAGCTGCAGAGTGGGCGACAGTGAAATAGGAAAAAGAAAAACGATTGAAAGGTCGAGACAACAGAGAAAGTGAGATAGATATATCAAAAACAGGATGGTGAAGTACAAGAGTAAGAGAGGACGGCGGATTTGAACGAGAAAACATTCGAGTTGTTGGCAACTGGGAATCGTAAGAGGATGGACGTGATTATCCTGAACAAAGCGCAAAAAACGATTGTCGTATTTTACTTCAGGCAAAATCGTTCTTTGGCCACTCTACTGTTCGCTAAACTGTGCTAAGCAATATATTTTGGCACTTTGTCATAATATCGAGTGTAAATTTATAATTTCTTAAATTTTTATAATTGTAAGTACGAAGAATAATGTCAATTTATTTGAAGTGGTAGCTTGAAATAGTATTATTTAAACGGTAAAATATTCATTTTACTAGTTGCCTAACAACTTTCTATACAACAAGAACATTCATAATGATAAATAAAATTATTTCTAAAAAAAACATACCCGTTTTATAGTGTCTATGAAAAATTGCAATGTTTACATAATATAAATAATTTATACTCTCTATAAAAACAGGAAATTTTAATCATTTTTTAAGATTCTCCTTTTTTAATAGTCATACAAGCATTTCTAAGAATTTTTTATTAATCCATTTAAATTATACATATCTAGAATATCCATACCCAACCACGTACCACCTTCTCCCTCATCATACGCCCGCACCCATATATATATAAATTTCTAGGTATATTCTTGAAGAAGTTAGATATTTATCGTGATACATTTTCAATTATACAGTTATCGGGACGACATTATAATTATCCTGTTCAGTTTTATGATTTTACATATATTAAGGCAAACATCATTGAAATATTAATACTTGAATAATAATGTTGAAATGGTAAATCATAGTTTTATTCGAATTCTTTAATTCATATTAATCGAATAAATTGATTTGATCACTCAAATAACGAGTGTTTCAAATATTTATTTTCCTAATATAATAAGCTATAATAAATAACGATATATAAAGATCAGAATTATATGAAAAACTATTATGAAACTATCATCGTTACTTGTATAGATTATATTAATTATATAATAAATATATTAAATACTTAAGCCTATAATAAAGGTGCACTTTTTCTAGAAAGAAATTATATCACTTCATGGTAACGATTTCGCAGGTTCAATACTTGAAATCATTTGTTCATAGGCATAAAAAACAACTAGAAAATCGTACAAATAAAACTATCTAAATAGAGATACAGAAGTGAAGGCGAGTGTACCAATCTTAGTATTGCGTAACTTTCAAGCTTGATTTGTTTAAATGCTGTTACGAAGTTGAAAAATATGATAGACAGGGAGATGAAGAGAGATAGATAGAGAGAGAGAGAGAGAGAGAGAGAGAGAGAAAATGTAATATCCATTCGGTTATATCTGTAGCTCCAAATTCGTATCCATTAAAGACAACCGTTATGTCCCGTTATTGCAGCTGGTAATCCATCGTATTGCAATCCCTTCTACATATCCATTCCACTTCAAGTATATTGCGTAAGAGAGTCTCTCACTGCTAAACTCCGGACCCACCAATATACGTTTCTATATGTCGCGTAAATTTACGCGAGCGCGCACTCCTGTGTATGGAAACTATGAACTGAGTCACGATACCCCCAACACCCATTCAAACTACATTAAAATAAATACATAAATGTTTGAATATATGTTATATAACCGTTTATTTATCTGTAATTAACGAATAGATAAGGAGGTGTTTATGTTTATCTGGTAAAACATCGAAATTGAGCCACTCGATAAATTACGGACAATTATAATTTATGTATTTGATTAAAAGAAAAATATAATTAAATTTGCCTCAAGTTTGCGTAACATATTTATTGGGATAAAGTAAATATTTTTCAATAATGTTATGAAATTGTTGCACAATTTATTTAATCAAATTCAAAGAAAGTAATGGAATATATATATATATATATATATATATATATATATATATGTATATATAAATGAATAGCAATGTCTGAAAACTTTATTTAACTCATTAATATTAAATGTCATGCCAGTATCCTATAAAAGTGTTTTTCCAACTGGAATATTAATTTCTTGACAAACTTGAATATGAGAAACTTATCAAAAACACAACTTCGTCTATATAACTAATGAGCAGCTGAAATTTGTGTTAAATTCGTCAACATTAAAATCAGTAGCTGTCTGATCGGTAATTCTAAAGTTAGACAAATGGAAAATATATAAATGTATATAAATGTACTTGGGATTCTTGACAAATAAACCTGGAAATAAAAGGTCTACTTTGAAAGAAATACTCGCTAATAATATTAATTCAACACTTGCTAATTGAATTCGTATTTCATTCGCCTAAATGATTTATAATAATTTTAAAATAACCTCTAAAAACTTTAATCTACGAACTTGATATTATAATTTTATTTTATATTACAATTAATTAGTAGAAAAATAAATATTGCAAATGAATCGACGGTTTCTTAATTATTAAACATATTTTTAATGATATTACATACGATGGAAATTTTTAACATCTATAAATATAATCCGTAATTCAAGTTTTATAAGTGATAAGTGTTAAGTCACAAGTGTCACAAACGGAATTATTTATACGCGACGCAAAAATTGTAAAAGTTTCTAATTACTTACTCAAATACTAGTATATATAATTTAAATATCATTGATGACATTTACTTGGAAACACAAATAGAAATTCGAAAATGGGTAGGAGTGAAATTATTTGCCAAATGGTGACGTGTATAGTTACGATGTACGAAGAAAAGCAAGGTTTCTCTTTTTACTTTAACGCAACTCAAAATCGACAGAAGCCTCTTAACAAAATTAATATTTTTCTCTAAATAAAAATAAAACTTCTGGTTTTACTACTAGTTTAAAATAATTACAAATGAACAAAATTTTAGTATTCCACTTATTTAATTTACATGATGAATCGTACTTAACTAATGAGTTCAGTGTTTCATTATAGCAAACACTTGTATTTCTTTCTGCATGTCGTATTTCTTGTTATGTCTATTATGCTTAGACAGTAGTTAAAAAAATCACAATTATATAGATTCACAATTTTATTATTAGATAGTATTAAATAAAATTATTAAATAACATTAATAGCAAAAAATTTTTTGACTAGTGAATAGGTTAAAAAAATTAAATTATATATATATATATATATATATATCGGCAATTATTATGTATTATTTTCTTACCGAAGTATTACAAGTTTCAGTATCTAAAGTATAGTAGCGGAAACACAATGTTAGCTAATTGTTAAGTGCAAAAAAAAAAGACATTTTCAAGAATAATTTTGTCAAACATAGTGAGAAAAAATAAATTGTCAGATAGTTGCATTTAATCAATAATCAATAAATATATCATTTAATTTTATAATCTTCGAATATTCTAGAAACATTTTATTTACCTTTGCGTTTAAAGATATATTGGTGAACAAGTGTATTTAATGTTACAGGGACCTTCCATTTCCACATAATTTGCTATGAATTTTAACTATGGCTCTACCTACTTCTTATTTTTCTAATTTCCTAATCAGACTGTGAATGATGATTTTAATATTTACAAATTTGTACATAAATTTCGTGCCACTGATTAGTTATGCATTATCTAAAAAAATAATCTGAGTAGAATAGTATTCACTGTACAAAATAGAACCAAATTGAGGAAAGAGAATTCACTATAAAGAATTCGTATGTCAATCCAAATATTACGGATGGACATAATCTGTGGTAAATTATATCAATTCTTGTATAAAAATTTCTCATCTACAAATAGGAAAAAAGGAATTTTATTCGCTATTGTGATTGGTTATGCATCATCTAACATCATCTAGCATCATTTTAACTAATTACATATTAAATTATGTACCAGAATATTAAATATTTCCCTATTATATTTAAATGATATTTCTATTTAAATTTTCTTTCATTTATCAAATTTGTATTTTATAATGATTTTTTCTTCTATTTCAAATAAGAATTGGCCATTGATAATACATCGCCATTAAGTTTGCAAATAGTATATTTAGCTAATTAATGCATAAATACATATCAATGGTGTTTCAAAATAATATTTAATAAGCTTATGATGCTTTTAGATTAAAAAAAAAAAGAATGTAATTGTTAAACGATAAAACAACAAGTTTTTAACGTTATAGATCATATTGATTAAAACTTAGAAAATTTTTAATAAAGCTCCTCAAACTTTAAACGGCAAATTTAAATTTGATAATTTTACCAAAATACCAAATTACTATTTTTACATAATAATTTCAACGATTTAAGCAAGATATTTATGCAAAAGCACTGCCAAAATTTTTAACTACTAGTATTTCCGCAAAAGATCCTGATAATGTTTACTCAACTATCAAGCTCGTTTGTTTAATCAAGACAAATTTGTATATTCGTGATTAAATAGTTTTTACTCGAGTAGAGAAGTGAAGTCCAAGCTTACGCTTAAAGCAGATTTTTTCCGGGTCAGTAAATAAATTTTATTACAGATTTTATTCTTTTGTTCCGTCGCGAAAGCGAGAGTGTAAGGGGGATGAGAAAGGAATTCACGCAGTGCGACAACGTGCTGCGGCTCAGGTGTGTTTTATTTACGATCTGTCGACTGTATATGCTCCTTTGTAAAATCAATAATCGCCAGAAGTTGCTTTACGCTCCTTCTAACACTTTTATTAAATTCTTGAACACAGCTAGTCCGCTCACGGCTAGTTGCCGGCGCGCATTTCTTTTCATGTTTCCCTTATTGTTTTATTAGCGTGCATAAGCGTAATTATACACGAGTTTCTTAACGATTGCACTCAACATTCTTATTTTGTGATTCGCAGATTCGTCGCTACCTATACTGGCGGAGCCGATACAAAATGTCACAGTTAGCGTGGGCCGCGACGCTCTCCTCGCCTGCGTCGTCGACAACCTTCAGAATTATAAGGTATTCCTTTTACGACATTCCGTTATTTTATTTCATCGTTCGCTCGTTTCATTTTTCACTGCTCTTTTGTAGCAGTGGGGGCTGCACTATTGTAAGGCTTTAAATACAATGGACTTTACAGTTTGTATATCTTAAAATATGTGGTAATTAAATGGAAGAATTTTTTCACTTTTAGTTACGTGCAAATGAATGTGGAAATTGTACGACATGCGAATATAACGCGAAGCGTCAAAATAGATAGAGGAGCCCATTATTAAACATGAGGTTATTACCCGTGGGAATTTTGAACTTCATGGTAATTAATTTACGTTAAATAGTATTCGAAGCACTAGTGATTTTTTTTTCTCTTTCAAACACTTCACTCGCTAAGTCTCCATTCAACAATACGAATAGTCTAGAGTAAGATTATAATATTTAATTGCAGAATAATGTGGATGTTAGGTTTGAGGAAGGGAACTGGTAGGTTCTTTATGAAAATCTCTACGATATTGTATGGAGAATAATTTCTCTCGAAGAGCCATAATACAGGAATAACGGTAAGCAAGCGATCGATCCACGATATAAGTGGCAAAATAAGCGCATTAATGAGATATTTCATCCGCGTTGTCGCTAAACATTTGTCGTCGACGCGGTGCGCATTACCTTAAAGCCTAGTTAATGAAAGAAAGAGCAAAAAAAGAAAAAGAAAAAAAAACACAGTCGCGTAATAAAATGAGGTGCGATAAAGTATACAATGTCGCGGAATGAGCGAATGAAGGGGACGCTCGCGTAGAAATCTTCCCGGCCAGGTTGAGCTGCGACAGATTTCTCGAGGATTCCCGGGACGGGAGGCTGGGAAGTAGCTGGAATAACGCGGGACATGCTCCCAGTGCAAATGGGAATTATACTGCTTGCATTTGCGCGACTTATTCAGCGTGTGCCGCATACTGAAGAAAGGCGTGTTATATATGTAAGAGCGAGAGTTGCATGTTGGAGAGGAGTGGGAGGATTCGATTTTCATCGAGGCCGGCAAGTCGATTTGATCCGAATTGCACTTGAGATATCTCGACGCTGAGGTAAGAGTGCTCTGGGATCATGCCCTTATTTCATTCCTTTCTTTATTATTTTCGAAGAGAGTCGCTCAAATTTTCATAAAAAACCTCATCCTCAAAGCATTATCTATGGAGCTCTAATGAACTAGGAGGGAAGTAATTTTTATTGTAATGTCTTCTTTTACGTCCGCCACTTTTAGCCGATGTTTTCATGGCACACTTGTGTACTTGTGTAGATCTAGGGGACTCGCGTATGCTAATATTAAGCGACAAGCGCCACGCGAGTGTAGCGTATTGATAAAAATGCATAAAACAAGTGGACATTGTTTATCCTTTCGATACACAGATTTTCCTCTATGTCATTTTAAAGTTTGTACGTTTTTATCAGGTCGCGTGGGTTCGCGTAGATACTCAGACCATTATATCGATTCATCACAATGTGATCACACAAAATCCGCGCATATCGCTTTCATATACCGATCATCGGACCTGGTATCTCCATATAAAACACGTTCAAGAAATCGATCGAGGATGGTACATGTGCCAGGTTAATACGGATCCTATGAGGAGTCGACAAGGATACCTTCAGGTTGTCGGTAAGTTAAATGCCAATTATAACTAAAGTGCTTGCAAGCAGCCTGTAAATTTAAATGGAAGAAATTTATTTTAGTTTCTTGGGACGCCCAAATGTTTCTTACTAATAAAAATAATTTAACTATGGTAATATAAGTCTGACGATATACTTTCTATTACAAATATAAGTACAATCAGATCAGAATCGAGTGAATTGCATGATCACATAAATTGTATTATTATTATCAACCTCAAATATAAATTAATAGTTATTATAATATAATGTTAATATAAATAGTTAATAAAAGTGTAATATAAAGTAAATATAATATAATAATGTTTTGTAAAGTAATGATAACAAAAGTCTTGAGAATACACGGAATTTGGATTAAAAGACATGAAATGAGAAATTGCATTAAATTTCTTTTGCGATAAATAAATCTGAGAGTAAATTAATTTTTTTGTCAATGATTTTATAGCATTGCGCGATTAATTATTTGACTCATATTGAATATACTTTGTGAAAAAAAAGGATCCAAGCGATATATATTAATATAAAATATTAACGAAAGTTCAAAGTTAAAAAAAAATAAAATTAATGAGCAATTACTACTTATTGACTTTTCCAAACTCGTCTAGATAATTTAACGTAATAATGTAATAATAAGACGATTCGTTAGTCCTCAATATTTTACGAGAATAAAGAGTTTTTGTTTTCAATTATTCACGTGCAATATTAATTAAATTTAAAATTAAACGATAATTGATCAACTATTGCTATATTATTGACAATTATAGATTTAATACAGTGATACGAACCAAAAATTTAAAATTGTAAAATATAATATATTACTTATGGTAACAAATAACAAAGAAAAAAACTGTTGGCAAAAAAGTTAAAATAATTATGTTTTTGATATTACGAGAGCGGATTGGATGCCGTTTGGAATTTTTCACAAAATATGAAAATTAAATATAAGCATGAGAACGTTCATCGACGTATTACTATTCATCGAGCACGGATTCAAACTTGAAATTTTTCTACCTTGTTCCTTGTGCCTCCTCTCGCCAACCAACGGTAGAGAATCGATTGCCTAACATATATTCAGCTGGCAATTTTCTCTACCTATATGTCGTTTCATCTTAATCATGGTTTCTGATGACAGTGCCGCCGTCTTTCGTTACCAAGGAAACCAGCACAGATATGGTGGTACGCGAGGCTTCGAACGTGACGTTGACTTGTAAGGCAATTGGATATCCCGAGCCCTACGTTATGTGGCAACGAGAAGATGGACAAAACATCAACTACAATGGAGAAAGCGGTAAGTCTTTTTAATAAATCAGTACGCAAAGCTTTATGTAATATATGCAATAACAGTTTACGTAAGTGGGATCTTATTAATTGAACTAGCAACTACGAACGTCCCCTTTTAATTATCATTCCCTTGAGCTTGCATTTTATGATATAGAAATTTTATGTTTGACGCTAGTTCTAGCCAATTACGCAACATCAAAAACTATCTAAAGATTCTATTCTTTTATCAAATATTTATGTAAGTATTATGCTCTAACGATTCATTTAAATTTCTTTCATGCATAACTTTATATTTTTTGTATATTTCAATTAAAGTGTATTGAAGTAGCGGTCTAACTTAATGCTGAATTATTGGGAAAACACTCACGTAGAAGATTATATTTGTCGCCGTTTGTATCATCCTGCCGTACGATAAAAGAAAATATAAAATATGATATTCCAAGTTATATAAAATATTTAAAAAATAAAATTGTACGGACCGCAAATTTACGTGCAAAAATTCGATGTTTAATATAATAATATTAACTGCGTCATTAAATAGTGATCATTGGACAGTCAATTTACATGTAATTTTATATGAAGTTCATTAGATAAAGTTGAATAATAATTATTAAAAATAAATCAATAAGTAACATACTAAATAAATAAAATAATAAATCTACTTATTCCTTTGCGATTATTGAAATCAGATTTTTACGTTCATTAACGTGTAACATAATTGAATAATCGTGATAATGACTGTTTAAAATAAAAAATAACTTTTAACGTTTCGCGAATATTGAAAATCATGCTTTCCATTATAAATAAATTGATACAAATTTAGATGTAAATATGCTTCCTTCCGTGATCTTATGGATCTACATCAAATATTTATTTTCTGATATAACGGCCATAACGTTTTTATTAATTATTAATATTACATGACGTTCGCAATAACTTTATTATAAATAATAAGATAATTTTATCGATAAGTAATACTGTAAGTATTTAGGGTGAAGATAATGTGCTGACAAAACTTTTAAAAATAATTATTAAAAACACATCGTAGTACAGAGAGAAATAATTCGAAAAGACTCGTTAAAAATTTATGTAGAATAACCATAAGCAGGATATGTGCTCTTTTAATCATTATACGGGCATCTTGCATTATTGCCCGTCATTTCAATGATAAAACATCTGCATAGGGCCGAAAATGTACAAAAAAAAGTACAATCGTTATAAATCAATTCTGCCGTAACCAGATGCAGCTTTCGCACGCTTGTTCGCGTCGGAAGTGATCCGGTTGACGCTCGTATGCGCGTAATTCACTTCGTACTTGCGGTAGGCGCGCGAATTCGGTACCTTCAAATTTCGAAATCGCCCTATCGGTACACGAGCAACGCCATTTCTACGATCAATTATTACTGACTCTACGCCAGCATCGAAATTCAAACCAACTCGTGCGGTCGAGCAGTTCGCTACTCTAACATAATTATTCAGCCGCGAATGACACTTCACGGAAACCCGTCGATGCGGGCCAACAGCAGAGAATAAAGCCCGCGAATTCAACGGCCCGTTCTAACCTTCATGACATGGAACTCGATTTTTTTTGTTTCCCGTTGAAAGCAGCTTAGTGCGTGCGTGCGTGAGTGTGTCCGTGCGTGCGTGCGTGCGTGCGTGCGTGTATTCGCGAGCAGATAGCCGTGGGCAAGTGAGAAGCGGCGCGCAAGAAATGAATATGAAACTAACTAAGATTATGAAAAGTCTTTTCACAGAGTGAATTTGAATTTTAAGGCTAGATCAACATGGACTACAAAGTGCAAATTTTGAACGTTCAAAATCAAAATATATAGAATATATTTTCATTACGAATACAGGACTCGACGTTTCTTACAATTCAATCCAAATGACTTAGCTTGTTATTATTAATTTTTTTTGGATACACCTACACAGTATTGGTGTTATTTAAAAAAAAAAAAAAAAAAATTTCACTTAATTATAAGCGTATCTATGAATTCGTAGCTTAGAAACTTTCTTTTAAATTAAATAATATTTTTTATTGCTTATTAATAGAATATAATTAATAAATAATTCAATTCGTAAGCATTGTCACTCACGAGTATCATATTATTATTATTTCAATTCAATATTTAAATTTTCAATATTCAATTATTTCAATAATATATTTAAATAGTATTATTTACTTATTTATTATACTTGTTATAAATAGTGTAATTGTGAAATTTCGGCTTGAATTTTAAAAGCATCATGTTAATTCAATATACGGTACTCGATTTAGTTACATTATAGTTTTAATTATATGTGCCATAATAATTGAATAAGCCTTTAAACTGGGTTAAAACGAAAATATTACTTAAATTAAATGATTTTATGCAGCATGCTTTTACCACATATTTTACATAAGCTATCACATTGTAAAATTACATGCTAATGCACACCTCAAGCAAGATACTCAACTTCTTCCAATTGACCTACAAATGCTAAAGAATGCAGTACTTACTGATGAAAAGTGACGTTTTAGTATCAGAAGATTTTCCTTTGTAACAATATGAAATATTTCGATATTTCAAATAAATACGTTAGTTAGGCATTTTGTTTAATTTAATGACATCATTATGCAAAAATATAAAATTCACATAGAACATAAAATATAATTGAGTCAAGGTCATAATATTATGCTTATACGTAGAATAACGTGACATTCAATTTTGAAAATTTACTCTATAACTTGTTATTGTACACGGTAATATGAAAATTATATATATAGTTATTAATCATCATTGTACTTCTGTTCTCCCATGACGATAAATTAGTTTATTAAATAAAATTTATAGTTTCAGTTAAAAGTTTACCAGATTACGCACAAAGTACTTGAAAAGTAAACTATGACAATAAGAATGAAAATTATTGTCAAATTAGATATATGAAAATTTCTTTGATTTAAAAATTTGGAAGAGAGTTCTAAGTTAATTGATCTTTAAATAATACGTATGTAATCAAGAAGAGAGGCAGCTTCAGTCAGAATGAAAGCATGAAATTTTTATAGAATAAGAGTAAAAACATTAGAGAGATGCGCACTTGAAACGTTCAAGAAAGATAACATTATTCCCACAATTGAAGATAATATTGAATAAAAGCCGTTTAGGATGACTCTCAAAGCCTTGGTGCATTACCAACTGATGTATTGCTCTCTAGGGTACTAGCAGTACTTTTAACACCATTACTCGTCTGCTGATAGCCTCCAGACATTCTAGCTTTAGGTTTGCACTGAGTACCGGTGTTCCCACGTGCATCTTTTCTCAGAAAAGCTCAGTTTTCTTCTTTGAAGCCTCTTTCTCCGCTTTCCGACTTCATCTACTTTTGTCCACTACAGTGCGTATAAATATCGGCAAAATAAAGTATGTACAGAATTTGCTTAAATATAAAATATAAATTAAACGTAGTGAGTCAGAGAGTGGGCGAACAGGGGTGGGGGGATGAACCAATTATGTCGTAGTTCCCTATTGAATTTTAAACCGACAAATTAAATTTGAAAAAATAAGAATAGGTAAAAAGAAATGCAATGTATTAAAATAACTGTGTCTTATCTTTTTATTATCGACTACTACGAAATTTAAAGAAGCTGCCATATTGAAATTTTTACAGCCTCAAAATAATTGAATTAGAACAAACTACTTATTGGAACAATCCGATTTATGTAAATTTTTACAATTTTTCATTATAAACATGAACAATAATCGCTTCGATTATATTTAATAAATATCACAAATTGGTTTTGCATATTTTTCGAAAGCTCTGGAATATAAATTTTATCGATTACATAAAGCATCAATTCTGATTGTAACAGTTATTGATGAATTTTCATACGGTGTCCATCTAGCAATATCTCAATGTATATCTACATATGTACATACATATATTTACATATGTATATATATATATATATATATATATATATATATATATATATATATGTATGTATACAGTAATAATACAAATAATATAACAAATATAATAATTATGTATTTAGTTGCATAATAAAAATACAATAATTTTTTCTACTTACTTATAATTTCATCCATTGTATGATGTCATCAGTCCATATAACATAATTAATTAAATTTTATAAAACTTAGCAAATAATTTTATAAAACAAAATAAAAATTAAATTCAGTCATTTTATAAACCAAATTGAAGCAAAAATATTTATTAATTATTTTTATGATAATTTGAAATTTATATTGTAAATTTTTATAGACTTTTAAATCGACGATGTAATAATAGATATTTATATTTATATTTATATTTATATATAATATGAGGAGAAAATATGTAATATAGGATCACGAAATAAGTGGGTATAGTAGATGGGTATTCTGAAAAAGAGAGGCACGTTCACATTGAAATTAAAAATAAATTAGTGTTAATAATTATTATTGAATTAATATTTGAAAAATTAAAGTATTTCCGAAGTATTAAATTAATATATGAAAGCGTTAATATTTTATTCGAGGACAATTGATTTATATATATACACATTATTTTGTTGTGCTGTATTTACTATTTAATTTAAAATTTTAATATTATAAATTATTTCAATATTTATTTCAAAATTTAACACGTACAACGGTATCACCATATTTCTTGAATATATATACTTTTCTATTTTAACATAATAATTTTCTAATTTATATATCAATATATGGTTTGCAAATAATTATTTATATACAAATATATATTATGACCAAACTGAAGATTCTAAAATCAAATATTATTTATAATATTTTCTTCAAAATAATTTCTTATATTGAATAAGTTTCATATAGAAATAAGTTATACTTCTATTTATAAATATAAAAACACTAGAAAATTTCTTGTATAAATAATTTTACTTATAAATGGACACAATGTATTAAATGAAAATTTTGTTTTAAAAAGTATTACCTTATAATAACTAAAATAATACATTAAAAAATAATTTTATATGTTAAAAAATAATACATTCTT